ACAACAAAAACTACAGTATTCTGAAAAAGATGATTAGAGAGGAACTCAGACATACAAGTTTAAATATTGAATGGTTTCTCTTACATGAAAAAATTCAATACTATATATATAAAGTATGAAATAAAAGATAATAGGAAAATAGAAAGATATTATAATCTAGCACTGACAGTATCGTATCTAAAAGTATACCTTGATTTATTAGCAAAATGGTCTTACATTTTGCTTTTATTAGCAAAATGTTTTATATGTTCTTTGACCTAATGACTCTGTCTTCCAATATGTATATATAATTAACTTTGTATGATCTTATTAGATAAATAATTTAATCTAATGCTACAAAATAAAAAGGCGTGGAGGAAAGGGGAAATTAAGGAATTGAAATGCATATGTTCATGTACCAACTCCCTAAAGTGAATGTAACCATTATATATTGAAACATGTACTAACAAAAGTAAAACAATACTGTATTTATATACAATAGAGTAGTATTCTATGATAAAAGAACAAATAAGTATTTGTAGAAAAATGGATGCACTCTGAGACCATGTTAAGTGAAATAAATCCCTGCAAAATTAACTATCTCATAGTTTTTCTTAAATGAGAAATCCAAGATATAAATAAAGAGGAAAATAAAGATAATAGAAGAGAGATGGAAGTAAGGCGTTGGAGGGTAGGGATAAAAATGCAACTGGGAGGGCAGTGAGGCCAAGAGGACATAAACAGAATTACACGTAATAGCTCCTCACAATGAATGTTATCATTATATACTGCAAACATATAGCAATAAAAGTCTTTGCATAACAGAATTATGAAATTAGGATACAACATTATATTTGGGGAAAAAAACCCCATATATTCCTATTTTCTTCTCTGCCTGTAACTCTTTTGTTATAATCTTTTAAAATATTTTATATTTTAAAAATTTCCAGGCCAGGCATGACACACGCCTGTAACTCCCAGCACTCAGGGAGCAGAGGCAGGAGGATCACTGTGAGTTCAAGATCAGCCTGGGCCACAAAATGAGCTTAAGGTCTGCCTCAACTACATAGTAAGACCCTGTCTGAAAAAGAAAAAAAAAGAAAAAAAAAAAATCCTTCTACTTGTTTTTTCTCTTCTAGCATCAATTTTTCTAATCCTGCTTATTGTTTAGGCCTTATTTCTGAAATGATTTTTCCATTTACTTATTTCCCTAGTTCTATCATCTCATTCCTGAGCTATCAAAATTGATATGTTCTTTCATGTCTTGAATTATTTTCTTAGTGCATTTTATTTTATCCTGAAATAGCTGGCTATAATTTTGTTGCTTTGTGGGCATGTTTTTAAGGTCATAGGGATGTTATTTTCTTTTTCTCTTCTATGATTAACTTTGTATGCAATTTGACTTCAACGCTTTTCTGGTTCTCATTTTTATGTGAATTTAATTTTCTTGAGACTTTAGAATGATTAATGTTCAGGAAACCTTTAACTTTATTATTTTTTTTTAATTTATTTATTTTATTTATTTATTTGTGTGTGTGTGGCCAGCTCAGCCCACCAGGGGGCAGGGCTGGCTGGCATGTGGTGCTGGGGGATTGAACCGCGATCCATGTGCTTTGCTAAGCTTGTTCAAAGTAGGTGCTTTAGACCACTGAGCCATCTCCCCAGCCCCCACCTTTAACTTTAAAAAGTTTACTCTTCTTGTGGGCAGGGTTAAAAGATAATGTATAATGGTTTGCATTTTAAGCTTTCTTGATTCTAGCTATCCCTAATTTTTTACCTGGATTTTCTCTTTTCTTATCTCTATTGCACCTGTTAGTGATAAACTTTGATTTTACTCTAGACAGTTTCTCCTTAGGGTGAACTCTGTCCCAGACAAGCATCTTGGCAAGACATTTTTTGTTTATTGGAGGTCTATTACCTGGCTTCTACCATTTTCTTTATGGTAGATCTTTCACTCAATCCTAAAGAGAATAAAACTCCTTAGGTTCAGCTTCTACTATCTAGTTGGCTTCTCAAATCTTTCAGTGAATACTTTTTTTTGGCTAGCCTAGAGTTTTCCTGGTGTGTGCATGGGGGTGCTGGTGCGGCATGTGGTGCTGGGGATCTAACCATAGTCCCTGCCCTCCTGTAAGCTTGCTTAAGCAGTAGCTTGCTTGCTTGCTTTATTTATTTATTTATTTATTTATTTAATAATTGCGGAACTGGGGATTGAACTCGGGCCCTTGTGCTTGCCAAGCAAGCGTTTATTCTACTGAGCTATCTCCCTGGCCCCCATCAGTAGCTTTAGATTGAGCTATCTTGCTGGCCCTCCCTTTTCTTAAGTTCTTTAGAAGTGTCCCGTTGCTTTCTTCATCGTCTTGCATAATATTGAATGAATCTACTTGCTGTGGTACTTTGCCCTTATTCTTTAATATTTTGATTCTAAAGTATCCAGTAATGTTCAACCATTAGGAGGTATCATGTTACATTTGTTCTAACTGTTTCATGGATATTAAAATTTGCTATGTAGTTTCTCTTTGTTTCATGTAGGACTGGGTTTTGAATCACTGTAGCTTATATAGGCATTATCACCTTGAAGCTGCTTCAGAGAGTAGCTGGTTGTTCATTTGTCTCTTTTTAATCAAACATTTGTGAAAGACATCACTTTGACCCACAAGGTTTAAAGTTTATTACAGTGGTAGGCTGGGGATACAGCTAAGTGGCATATGTGCCTGCCTCAGTTTCTGTTTACAGGAAAGCTGTCACAAAACCTATCCTTAGCATCCATGACATAAAACTGCATTAAAGCCCCATCCCTGGGCACACTGTACAGGCCACCGAGACTGGGATGGTGGTGCATGCCTGTAACACCAGTACTGGGGAGGCTGAAAACGAGGATCACTATGAGTCACAGCAGTAGTGTAGTGAGATCCTGTACCAAATACATAAAAACAACAAAACAAAAAACCCCAACTACATTAAAAAGCAGGGTGTGTGGTGGTGCCTGCCTGAAATTCCAGGGCTCAGGAGACTGAGGTAGGATTGCTGTGAGTTCAATGTCAGCCTAGGCTACATAGTGAGTTTAAGGCCAATATAAACTCCACAGGGAGACTGTTCCAAAAAGCAAAACAAAATAAAATAAAATCACATTAAAAAGATTAATTTTACTTGAAGTAAAACTTCTTAGGGTAGAGAGAATTCAAGAAGAGTTTCACCACGCAAGCCTCTGTACCAAAGATTACAATGTGAAAATATTATTGAAAAAATTGCCTGGTGTGGTGGTGGGCGCCTGTAATCTCAGGAGGCAGGAGGATCATTGTAGGTTTGAGATCTGGGCTATAAAGTGAGCTCAAGGCCTGTTTGAATTGTATTGTGAGACCCTGTCTCAAAAGGACACAAAGGGGCCAGGGAGATGGCTTGGTACAATAAGTGCTTCCCTGGCAAGCTCAAGGGCCTGAGTTCAATACCCAGCCCTCCCCCCACAAAAAAAGGCCACAAAAATTAAATTAAATTAAAAAGTTATGTATTATCAAGTCATTCTAAATAGCAATCACTTATTTTCACTTTCGAGATAAAATGACTGATATGTTGCACATACACTGGAACATTTGCTGTTTGAAAGACCCAAGAAAAGACAAACTTAGTTGTCTCCATATCTACAACATTCCAGTATTTTTTTTTAATCCTCCTCTGCAGAAATATACACCCTTCTAAATCTAATTCAATCTGTATTTTATTTTATTTTTTTCCCCATAATTTTATTGAGAAACAAATAGCAATGAGACAGTTTCAAACCAAATTGGCAGGACAGTTTCAATAATTAACACATTGCCTAATTCTTCCTAGTGGCTAATTGCTGTACAAGATTCAATCTGTATTTTAAATGAAAGAAGGGCTGAGGAGATAGCTCTGTAGAATAAGCACTTGCCTGACAAGTACAAGGTCCTGAGTTCAATCCCTAGTACCTCAAAAAAAAAAAAAAAAAAAAAAGATTAAATGAAAGAGAAACAAACATTTTAGAATTTTTGTGACTTTCCCCTACATACAAATTTGACTGGAATCTAGCAACAAAAATTCTTTGCAGAAGTCTACTTGTATGCTTATAAATTTGAAAAAAAAAAGAGAATAAGCTATAATGGACAGATGCTATTATCAATACAATGCTATGTATTGCAACTAATTCAATCAACTAGGCATATTTCAAAAGTAACAAAAGATCTATCAAATTTTATTGTATATGGCAAACAAAAGTATCACTCAAAGCTTAACATAACCCAATAAACTACTGCTTTCTTTTCCTACAATTGGACCCCTAGCCATATACATATATATACACATATATATATACATATAATATATACATATATAATATATACATATATAATAATCGGCACATAAACCTTGCTCAGGCGTCACTGTACACCAAACAGTAGTAGCAGTAGTAATGTTCTCGAGCTTGCTCTGACACATCCAAGCCTTTAATCCCTCCTCCCATCCGAAAACGCGTTTGTTTTGGCACAAGGGGGTGGGAGCTATCTCTGTGGGGTTGCAAAGAGCATCAAAAGCTGTCACACAAACGAACGGTCGGCCACTTCAACAAGTCTAGGCGCTCGGGGTGAGGTGGGACGCAGCTCTCGAGACAGAAGAGTAAACACGGCGGCTCCACTGCGGAGGCTGCTGGTATTTTTTGTAGGAGGCTGTGGCGGACCGGGTAGGGTGGGGGACCTGAGAGGGCATCCAGTCCAGCTCCGCGGCCGGTATACTGGAAAGCCAACTTGCAGATCGCCGGGAGGCTGGGGGAGCCCATTACCAGCGTCCCTAACCCGGGCCCGTCCACGGTTGCGGAAGGCCCTGCCGCGGCAGAACTATCAGATCGGCGGAAGCCCCGCAAAACCGGCCCCGCGCCCGCGGCCGCACTCGGCTCCCAGCGTCCGCAAGCCCGCGGCCACTCATCCGCAGATGACGAGAGGGGCCCCAGTCCCGGAGAGGACCTCGGAGTCCGTGCTCTCGGCCTCCTGAGCCGCTGCCCCACGCTCACCCACCTGATGCTCTTTCACTACTTCGCTGAGGCAGGGATACCGCTCTGAGATCCACCGGTAAAACTTAGGGACTCCCATTTCAGCCGTCAACACCAGTTCCCGTCAGCGACGAACCGAAACCAAACGCCCCGCCGGGGCCTGCGCCGCCGCCTCGGGCCGTCGCTCCGCCGATGACAACGCACCGCCCGCCCGACCATAGAGAGCGTCGGTGGGGCCTAGAGCGACAGGTTCCGAGGCCGCGTCCCGGGGCGGGGCCTATCGCGTTCAGCCGCGCCGCAGGCTCCCGGGGCTCGCGGGTGGCTGAGATCGGAGAAGCTTCGGGTGTCCGCCTTAAATTTAGTTCTCAAAATGCGTTTGTAGAACTGCAGGTTTGGAAATGGTACGAAAACTGTCCAGGACTGTCAGAAGGGTACTTAACAATGATCGTCGCAGCTACTGGCTCCCGGGATTACTAATGTCACTATTTTCTAAGTTTAGAAATAGTTGATTTATTTGGATTAATTTGCGATGGGGAGTGTTTTTTTTTTCCCCCCTGAGTAAGGTACCGTTCCTGTGTCACAGGCCCATTAATCCCAGCATTCGGGAAGCTGGGGCAGGATTATCAAGGGGCCAGCCTGAACCACAAAGCAAGACCCTGTTCACGCTGCCCCTCCTAAATTGTTCTTTACCAGGTTGTAGAAAAATAATTTCCTAACTAGCCTTTCTTAACTGTTAACACTAAGCCCTCGATGGGAAATTATATATATATTTTTATATATGTTATATATATTTAGGAAATTACATTTATTTTTAATGTATTTGGTACAGGGCCTCACTACGCAGATCGGACTACTAGTGATTGTTTCAGCCTCCTCAGCATTGGGATTACTGGTGTGTGCGCCCGAGCGCCCCGGGGCGGGGCCAGCGAGGCACCCCAGTCCCTGCGCTGGCCTGAGCCAGCACTTAGTCCACGGAGCTGTCTCGCCGGCCCTGTCTCTATGTTTAGGTTTATGTTCACACTTTTTGTCTTTCCCCCCATCACGTTCAACCATACACACAATGCAGTTTTTCATTTCCTGTAATGTAATAACTGCATTATTTTGTAATTATTCTTGTAAGTCAATAAAATTTACAAAATTTTAACATTTTTAAAAATTTTAATCTCTCATTGAATTTTTAAATATTGCTGCCTTCTATTACCACTGGACTGTGCATTCTCTTATACCTACAGTATGGTAGTTATCTTTAAAATAAGAATATTGGGGCTGGGGATATAGCTCAGTGGTAGAAGACATGTTTAACACAAATGAGGACCTGGGTCATGGTTCAGCCCCAGAATCACCAGAAAAAATAATTACAGAGTATTTATTTAGATTGTTTTGTTTCATTGAGACAGGATCTCACTGTTTAGTTCAGGCTGGCCTTAAACTTACTATGTAGCCAAGGCCGGTCTCAAACAGGAGGCAATCCTCCTTCCTCAGCCCCCTAAGGACCAAGGACAGGATTACAAGTACGTGTCACCAACGCATCATGGAATTTATGTTAGAAACGAACAGATATAAGTAATAACAAATACATTCATTTAATTACTGGCATATTTTTGACATAGTTTCATTTCACATATATGGGGTCCAACCAAGATACATTTGACACAGTAAGTTTTCATCAGTAGCTTCCTGTATAAGGTAATGCACATGTCCTTCAATAGACAATGGCAGTCCTGTTACTCTATTCCGAGTCTTGATCACACCCTGCAGCCGTTGTTCAATGTCAAGAACGTGAGTCTTGGCCTAAAATGAAACAGAAAGTCATTACAGTTAGGCGCCCACTAGTGTGCAGTGTCGGTAACTTGGAATTTCTACCTTTTCTTGATATTAAGTCAATATCCTTTTACAGGACCAAATACAGAAAGATAAAACAAATCTAATAACTTGACATACTGACTTTGAGACTTTTAATGTAACTCACCATGAACTGACTGGACATGTTTCTGGATTATGTGAAATGTCCAGGGATTATTTCTACACTACAATTCTAGAAAAGTAATAATTTAAAATTCTTGTGTTGAAGGCTGGGGTATAATTCAGTGGTAGTTTTACCTAATATGCATGAGACCCGAGTACAATCCCCACCACCATGGGGGAAAAAACTGAAAACCCACAAAATAAAACCTATTTTGAACATATTTTGAACTTAAACTTTTGAATGAACACTAACAATGGGAAGTAAGCTGATATTTACATACTTTATTTTTTTTAAATGTATTTAGTACAGGGTCTAACAGGGTCTCACTACGTAGATTGGACTTGTGGTGATTCTCCCGTTTTCAGCGTCCCAAGAGCCATGATGCTCAGGCTCAATCCCTGGCTTACTGGCCTGGGGATCGAACTCCTGGCTGCTGTGTCTGCCTAAGTAAGTAGGTGCTTTAATCCTCTGAGCTATCTGGCTGGCTCTCTGATATTTACATTATAAAATACAATCCTAAAAAAGACCAAAAAACCAAAATACATTCCTGCCAATGGATATTCTAAGTAAACTACTTAGAATCCCATACATTTATGTTTCAAGAAAATCAGAATCCAATATTGAGTCTGGGTGTGATGATACACAGCTATGATCCCAGCATTCAGGAGGCTGAGGCAGGAGGTTGCTCTAACTTTGAGGCTAGCCAGGGATACAAATGTGTTCAAGCCCGGCCTGCACTACAAGCAAGACCTGTCTCAAAAAAAAAAAAAAAGTGACAATACTGCCCGCTTGGGTCCTCCTCCTATTCCTCTCTCAGAAGAAGCTTTCTTTACCCTAATAAATCTTCTGCTCTTTAAAAATAAGTGACAATACCAGAAAAACAATCCTCAGGTAAGACTATAGTTCAGTGATAACGCATGTATTTAGTATATGTAAGAACCTGGGTTTGCTACCAAAACAAAAAAACAAAATAAACAAACTCCTTATTAAAAATAACTAAGAAAACACTGAGCCTTCCACTACTTAAGTAATGAGTGAACCACTACATTTTTCAAGGATTGTAGCACACTATTATCAGTAATTTCAATGTTCCAACATAGCCATGTGTTCACAGGTAATTTGTGTTCTAAGTTTTCATGCTATTTCTAAATTATAAGCTGTGATTAAACCATTGTGTTAATAAACAAATGCTAGAATTGTTCATAGTAACACTTTTTAAAACCTTAGATTTCAGAGCAATCGCTATTCAGTCAGTGACAGTATTTAGAAACAGTTATTTGTAGAGACAAAACAGTGTTAGCTCACTTCAAGTTGCACCTCCTACGAACCTTTTCATTGACAACCTCCCCAGTTTCACTCAGTGGTGTTTTGGAATGTCCTTTCACTGGTTTACTCCACTCCACAAGAGGATCGTGTATAAAAGTCTTTAAGACACTAAAATTAAAACAAATAGTAATTATGCAATGTTATCTTTGCAAAAAAAAAATCTTGTTAAAAATTAATTCTTGGGGTTTAATCCCTGGCACCAAATGCTGCACCAGCCCTGCCCTTGGGCGTGCTGAGCCAGACAGGAATCCAGGTACGGTGGCATAATCCCAGTGCTGGGGAGGCTGAAGACAGAAGGATCGCTATGAGTCTAAGCTGTGTAATGAGACCCTGTAACAAATACATCATCATCATTATCATCATTATCATAATAATAATAATAATAAATTCTTAAGGGTTCGTGAAGGATAGGAAGTTGTTGAGTAATAAGACATTACTGTGTTAGTACCTTTACAATATGATGATGTAAAGTTATTGTTTAGGGTAAAGAAAGGTAAAATGAAAGGAAAGAATGGTACAAGGTAAGACAAAAAAGAGGTAGTTGGGAAGGTCAGATGAGTTGTGGGTGTTGTCTCTAAATGTGTACTGTGAATTGATAAATGACTATATATTGAATAAGTGAATTTATCCCTCGAAATAATATAGGCAATGGATTTGAATAGACTCAAAGATATACAAATGACCAACAAACAGATGAAAAGATGCTTAACATCCCTGCTTATCAGGAAAACACAAAACAATGAGATACTTCTTCACACCCAGTATAAGAGCTAAAAACTAAAGACTAATAAAGTTGATAAAGATGTGGAGAACTGGAACCCTGAGCACTATGGGGGATTATGAAGTATTAACACTGCTTTGAAAAATACTTCGGAAGTTCATCAAAATGTTAAATATGTAGCTAATGTGTGACTCACCAAGTTTATTCTTATATAGATATACACAATTAAACTGAAAACACATCTACATAAAGTTTTTGAGACAGGGTCTTGCTATGTAGTTCAGGCTGGCCTTGAACTTACTATGTCGCCCAGGCTGGCCCTGAAGTTTCTCTCAGTGATCTTCCTGCTTCAGCCTGCTAAGTGTTAGGGTCACAGGCGTGTACCACTAGGCCCAGTCACTGTAAAGTTTTGTACAACGTACATAACCACCCTATTCACAGTAGCAGGAAAATAGAAACAATACATACAACACAAACGTTTTTTTAATAACACTTTTGTATGTGTGGTACTGGGGATTAAACTCAGGGCCCTGTCCTTGGTAGGCAAACATATTTTAACTGATTAATGAATCAAGAAAGAATATATGTATCAGCAACAAATTATTTTTGGCAATAAAGAAGAATGAAATAGTTATACATGAGGAACCTTGAAAACATGCGAAGTGAGGCTCAGAAGATAGCTCAGCAGCATAAGTGTCTGCCTGGAAAGCTCAAGGTCCCGTGTTTGATCCCTGGTACTGAAAAAAAAGGCTAAGTGAAGACAGACACAAAAAAACACATATAGCTGGGCACGGTGGCACATGCCTATATCTCTAGCACTCAGGAAGTTTATGCAGGAGGATTGCTGTAAGTTGAAAAGCAGCCTAGAAAAAAAAAAAGGCCAGCTGAGATCTTATGAAAAACCAACCACGAAAATAGAGCAGCTGAGGCAAGATCATTCCAAGTTAGAGTAGTGGTCATGTTCCTGGAGGTGGTAAGAAGGATGACAAGAACAAGAAAAAGAAATATGAACATCCTGTACCAACTAGAGTAGGGAAAAAGAAAACAAAGGGACCAGATGCTGCTAAGAAACTGCCACTGGAGACATTTCACACTCAGTGCTACTTAAAATTACTCAAGTGAGAATTAAAAAGACTGTCTTTTTTTTTTTTTTTTTTTTTTTGCGGAACTGGGGATTGAACTCAGGCCCTTGCGCTTGCCAGGGAAGCGCTTATTCCACTGAGCCATCTCCCCGGCCCAAAGACTGTCTTCTTATGGAGAAAAAATTCACTAGAAATCAGGAACAAATGAAACTATCAGAAGAAAATCAAGAAGAAAGGTCAAATGTGGATGATCTGAAGGAGGCCCCAATATTAGTAGGAACCTTGAAAGATATCATTGATGATAATCATGTCATTTTTTTTCTGTATCTATGGGCTCAGAACACTGTCAGCAACCTTTTGCTTGTGGACAAGGATCTGCTGGACAAGGGCGCTCAGTCCTATTCAATCACAAGGCATATGCTATGGTTGAAGTGCTATGTGACACAGATACCCTGGTCACAGTGATCAAGGTAGAAAAGTCTGCCCAGGAAACCTATGCCAATATTGGTGGGTTAAACAACCAGATCAAACAAATTAAGGTATTTGTGGCTCCTTCTCTCACCCACCCTGAGATGGTTGTAAGGTTACCTAAGGGGATCATCCTCTGTGGTCCACCTGACACAGGGAAAACCTTGTCTGCTAAATTAGTACTGAACTAAATGTTGGCCACTTTCTTGAAAATGGTTGGCCCTGAACTTATTTGGAAGTACCTGGACTCCAGAAGTACCTGTACCTATACTGGTATGAAAACTGTTTTGAGTCACAGAAAAATGTGCACTACTGATCTTGCCTTTTTAGACAGTGTCTCCTTATGCATCTAAGGCTGGCTCTGAGCTTACTTTGTAGCCCAGGTGGTCTCGAACTTGCAATGATCCTCTTGCCTCAGCCTCCCAAGTGATGGAATTACACCATGTACCATATCTGGCCTGAAAAAGACTTGTATAACATTATTTAGAAGTAATGTTTCAATAGCACAAGAAATGTTTAAATAGACTCAAGTACTTTAGTTGTATGGAAACAAGAAGGACTGTCAGGAATCTGTCTCTTCTGTGCCCAATATAGCTCATCATTTATTTTGTTTTGACATAGGATCTCAGTATGTACTGCAAGCTGGCCTCAAACTTGCAATGACCCTCCTGCTTCAGCCTCCTGAGTGCTGGGATTATAGGCAAGTGCTGGGATTAATAGGGGTGCGCCCCCATGCAGGGCCTCATCCATCTTGTTTATTAATCAAATTGATGCCACTGGTACCAAAAGATACCGTTCAAACCTTGGAGGTGAGAGAAAAATTTAGTAAACGGTATTGGAATTGTTGAACCAATTGGACAGATTTGATTCACAGAGAAATATCAAAGTTACCAGGGCCCAAACAGAATGGAAGCTTTAGATACAAAGCAAGTCAGACCAGGGCAAATCAATAGGCAAACTAAGTCTCCTCTGCCTGGTGAACACTAAGAAGCGCAGTTTTCAGATTCACACCAACAGGATGATGCTGGCCAAAGATGTAAGCCTGGATGTTCAGACCATGGCATGGTGCTGGCATCAAGGCAATCTGTACAGAAATTTGTCTGATAGCCTTGAGAGAATGTAGAATGAAAGTAACAAATGAAGAACCAAAAAAAAAAAAAAAAGAAAGAAAATATTCTACATAAGAAACAAGAAAGCAACATTGAAAAGCCATCTAGTGAACATGACTGCTTTTAGGAATGTGCTTGGGACTTTTCCCAAGGTTTGAAAAGGGCCTGGAGGGAAACCATGTTACAGTTAATTTTTATTGGTAAGACATGGTGTCTCCTGTAGCATGCCCACTGGATGGCTTTTTTCTGTGGTTCCTGTGCTGCTTGCTAAGTCACAATAAAAAGTTCTCTCTCTCTCTCTCTCTCACAACTTAAAATGCCACATATTATATGATTACAATTATATAAAATGTCCACAATAGGGAAATTCATAGAGATAAAGGTAGATTAGTAGTTGCAAGGAAATGGCTAGGGACAGGAAGATGGAAAAATAAGTGCTAATGCTTATGGAATTACTTTTTGTGGTACTGAAAATATCTTAGAATAGTTGCACAATTGTATGAATACACTAAAAACCACTGAGTATTCACTTTTAAAGGGGTAAATTTTATGGTATGTGAATTATTTTTCAAAGCTATTCTTTATAAAAATATACTTTAGCTAAATGCAAAGTGATTACTAAATAAAGCTTAGGGACCAGTATTTACACTCAAGGTTACTGCTAAGTTATTTATGAAGTATGGATGATTACCTCATTAAAGGCTCTCTCTGATCTCGCATCAGCCTCAGTGTAACTTCACATGCTCTTCGAAAAAGACCCTCTGTTCCCATTGGACCCATTCCATTAACCATATTATGAGTTAGGCGAAATGGTACAATTTCTGGAACTTCAAAAGTTTCTCCCTTAAAAGCAAAATGCATTTTATTCCAAAGTAACAAGTTAGCATTTTTAAATCTTTACTGGAGTTTAAAATTTCATGATTAAACAATTTTAGCAAAGAGCAAAAATAGCTTCAAAATATTTGTTTGTAACTATATTACACGTTTAGAGCATGAAAGAGTCATCAGTCTTGTTTTGCTTTCAGGGAACTAAAATCAAATTTGATCTTCGATAACATCTAGAAGACTAACAGATTCACCTTTCACTTATTTAGTATAGTAAACACCATTATAGAGAAGTTTTTAATATGTATTTATTCTCATTAACTTCCCAATGTTTTTCTTTTCTTTCTTTCTTTTTTTTTTTTTTTTTGGTATTTAGTACAGGGTCTGCAGGGTCTCACTACACAAATCGGACTCATAGTGATCCTCCTGTTTTCAGCCTCCCAAGCCCTGGGATTATAGGTGTATGCCACCATGCTCAGTCTCAGTCACCATCTCAGCATGCCCCGGGGACAGGGCTGGCATGGCATGCCAGGGATTGAACCCTAGTCCCTGTGTCTACCTAAGCAGGCACTTTAATTGGTTGAGTTATCTGGCTGGCCCCCAATGTTTTTTTTTCTTTTTCTTTTTTTTGGCGAAGCTGGGGATTGAACTCAGGCCCCTGTGCGTGCCCGGCAAGTACTTATTCAACTGAGCTATCTCCCCAGCCTGTCCCCTCAATGTTTTTCTCGAAATAATACAAAATACAAACAAAAATTATTTTATTTTTCTTCTTTAAAGCTTTCACTTAAGCTACATGTGTTGGTACATGCCTATAATTCCAGCAGAGAGGCAGGAAAATTGCTTAGAGTTTGAGGCCAGCCTGGACTACAAAACGAGTTCAAGGCCATCCTGAACTGCATATCAAATCCCTGTTTCAAAAATATAAAACAAATAAAAAATTTTCACTTTAAAGCAGGAGGGGATGAAGATAACAATATTTAATATAGTAATTGTTTTTTTCTCTTAAAAAGAAAAAAAATTAATGAAAATTATACTATATCTTATAAAATAAAAGGTGTAACTGTAAAGAAAAAATGAAAAATAAAAAACCCAAGAGGTGAAAAGAAATAGCCAGGTGTCAGATATTTCCCTCAGACAAGATATGAAGTATGTTGGGGGCAAGGAGATGACTCTGTGGAATATGTGCTTCCTTGGCAAGCTCAAGGGCCTGAGTTCAATCCCTGGTTCTGCAAAAAAAAAAAAAAAAAAGGTAAGAAGTATGTTAATGCAAGTCCAGGTGTACATTTTCTGTTGTTCTCTAATTTGCCTTTTCCAGAGTGCTTTTATCTTTACCTTAAAGTCCTTTTTAGCATGATTTATATCAATGGTTTATCTTTGATTTATTCTCAATTGAGTGTATGACCTTTCTCAGTTTCCTGGAATAGCACAAGGCAACTGAAAGATTGAGAATGAAGAAATAGCAGACTAATTTACCAATCTCCAGGATCTTTTCTTTTTGAGAAAACATCTCACTATGTAATTTAGGCTGGCCTTGAGTCTACTACGTAGCCCAAGCTGGCCTTAAACTTGTGGCAATCCTGCCTCAGCCTTCCAGCTGCTGGGAGGATAAGCATACATCACAGTGGCTGGCCCTCTATAATTTTAACCTTAGTTGTAGGGGACCTTAGATTTTTTTTTTTTTCCTTCTTTTTTATTTTTTAACTGGGGATCAAACTTGGGACCTTGCAGAGGCTTATGCTGCTGAGCTATATCCCGGGCCTTGCAGGGAGCCTAATTGCTTTAATTTCTCCCAAAGCCTTACTCTGGATCTGAAATTGAATCTGAAAGGTTATTTTCTAGATATCTGGGTTTGGTTTTACTTTCTTTCATTTTGCAGTCCTGGGGAATGAGTCTATAGCTTGGTGCATGCCGGGTAAATGTTCCACCACTAACTACATCCCTTGTCCACATACACTTATTTTTTCTATTATTATTATTATTATTATTATTATTATTATTATTTTGTCTTTTTAAGACCGAGTTTTGCTATGCAGTTAAGGCTGGCCCTGAGTTCACTTTGTAACCCACGATGGTCTCCAATTTGAAATGATCCTCTAGCCTCAGGCTCCCCCAATGCTGGGATTACAGGCATGCACCACTACACCGAGCTCATTTATTTTTTTGAGACAGGGTTTTGCTATGTAGTTTAGGCTACCTTTGAACTCACTATGTAACCCAAACTGGCCTCCAACTTGTAGCAATCTTGCTGCCTCAGTTTCCTTAGTGCTGGGATTACAAGCATTTACCACCACATGCAGTTCCTATATATCCTTAAAACTGTTAATTCTGATAAGCTGCTACATTTAGAAACTATAATATTAAATTCTCTTTATAAAATTAAGTCTCAGTAAATGAATGGATCTGGCTATGTATACATAACTAGTAACTGAGTCAGAATATGCTTTTTTATTTTTCCACCATGTATTTGGTACAGGGTTCTACAGGGTCTCACTACACATATCAGACTCATAGTGATTCTCCTGTTTTCAGCCACCCAAACCCTGGGATTACAGGTGCACTACCACGCCCAGTCTCAATCCCCATCTCAGCGTGCCGCAGGGTCAGGGCCGGCATGGCACACTGGTGATCTAACCCCAGGTCGCTTCGCTCTGCCTGAGCAGTACTTTAGTCTGCTGAGCTATCTGGCCAGCCCAGGATATGCTTTTGGACATCAAGTTCAATGCTACTTCACTATATCACTCTTTTAAATTCTCTCCATCCTAAATTGGTCTACTATGGAGTAAATGATGAAAAGTAGACAAGAAACTCCAATGAGACACTGCTATGAGTGTAACTTACCAATAAGTATGTTTTCCTTTGGAGGAACCAGGGATTGAACTCAGGCCCTTGCACTTGCTAGGGAAACACTTATTCCACTGAGCCACCTCCCCAGCTGCAACAGGTATGTTTTAAAAGGGAAATTGCTATGGAAAGGAAACTAGGAGAAAATATGTAATTACACTAAGTCACATTACATACCTTATTAAAAAGACAGTTGAAATCCACATGTACACATTCACCAGTCAAAGAATCAAAAAGAATGTTTTCGCCATGACGGTCTCCAAGACCCAGGATATAGCCAACCATTGACATTACAGCAGTAGAACGGCAGTATGCTGATCTGCTACTGTACCTAAAGGAAACACACTGTCCATCAAATATCTTTATGCTAGATGAGGCAACAAAAAATATTAAGCATTCAACCAGAACATTTTTGGTAACTTACCATGATGTAGGATCAGGGAATGTTCTCAGAAACCACTCATGAAAAACAGGAGGATGCCTAGGAAGCAGAAGTTCTTGGAATACTTTGAATTTTTCAGATAGAGTTGATGACTTTGGCAACATACACTGGCGAAGTTCCTTTCCTGTCATATATACTCCTACGTGGCAGAGTGATTTCCATTAATCATACAACCAAAGGAGAAAAGGAGAAAAATATTTTTGTTATACCAGAACAGGGTACTGGGCATGGTGGCACATGCCTATAATCCCAGCATGTGGGAGGCTAAAGCAGGCAGATCATTGTGAGTTCAAGGTCAGGCTGGGCTACACTGTGAGCTCAAGGCCAGCCTAAACTGCATAGCAAGACCCTGTCTCAAAAAGACAAAAAAGGGCAACCCACTCATTTGGGACCCCTCCTGCCTCTTAGGAGCTACTGCTATTCCTAATTCTCCAATAAATTTTCCTGCTTTTAAAAAAAGGCTTAATCAATAAATTAAGAAAAATAGAACAGGGTATATCAAATTGTTACTCAAAAGCAAGATTAAATGAAAAAATTTCAGTCATATATATATATAAACTTAATATGTGATCTTATAATGAAATAAGCCATTTTCCCTTTCATACTTACAAAAATGGAGTGTCTTACTGATGAAAATTACTCTTAACAAAACCTAATGTCATGTGATCATGTAACTACAGAATATAAGATTCAAAAAAAGTTCAGTGCAAATTTATCCCTGGAATTGTGAAAATGTGCAATACTAAAGGAAAGTACATGTAGTAATTTCTCTGTTAATCAGAATCTGTTGTTAATCAGGATGTAGTATACATTCAAACCAAAGTATTACATTTTTATTGAACTCAGGACCTTGAGCTTGCTAGGTAGGCGTTGTAGTGCTGGACTACAATACCAGCCCTAAACCAAACAATTACTAATGAGCCAACATTGGTGCTCGGGAATAATTTACTTCATCTGATAAACTAGTCTATAAAATTGATAGTACAACTGATTCTTAAACTAAGCATTAGAATACAAATCTAGTCTGCAGTTTTGTCTCAAGCTTAATGATTTAAGAATTTTAGTCTGAAGTATTGCATAGTTCGACTGTTTATGATACTGTAGAAGATATTTAAAAAAAAATCTATCTACTATAAAGGCCAAGTATTATAATGCATACCTGTAATTCCAGCACTCAAGAGGCTGAGGCAGGAACTTCATCAAGTTCAAGGACAGCCTGGGCTATATAGCAAGTTCAAGGCCAGTCTATGCTACATAGTAACACTTTCAAACAGCAAATGAATCTGATATCAATAAATAAAATTTATATAACATTTTATCCTCATGAATAAAGTAGTCAACAAGGGCCAGGGAGATAGCTCAGTAGAATAAGTGCTTGCCTGGCAAGCGCAAGGGCCTGAGTTCAATTTCCGGTTCTGCCAATAAATAAATAAATAAATAAATAAAGGAGTCAATAGCAAGTTCCTTGAATTTGACTTAAATGTGTTTTAACTCTGCAACGTGTTAAACATGTGAACACAGATGTTACTTCTCTGATATAGTCTACACAATAGTCAGCCTTTAAAATAATGTATATAATATACTTAGCATAATGCCCTTAATCTAGTAATTTGTCGGATGACTTATTGCTATAGATTGACTTGTGTACCTCAAGAAATGTGTTAAAGAATGTGACATTTGAAAATAGGAAAGAAAAAAGAAATAGGGTTACTTTTGGGTATGTTTTGAGATAGAGTCTTACTTTATAATTCAGGCCAGCTTTGAAGTCACTATGTAGTCCAAGTTGGTCTTGAACTTGCAGTGATTCTCTTGCCCCAGCCTCTTAAGTAAAGAGATTACAGGTATACTCCACTATGTGTGGCTTTATTTTTAAATTTTTATTAGTAGGTGTCACCGGTATACAATGATTACATTCATCATGAGAAGTTAGCACACATACATAACACATCTTAATTCTGTTTTACCCCTCTCTCCCATCTCCTGCTCCCCTTTGGAAACAGGGTCTTCACAGATGTAATCAGGTTAAATGAGGTCATTTAGGTGGACCCATAATTCAATAATCCAATGACTATTATCCTTATAAAGATAACCCACCTAAGTGTTGGTTTTGTGTGCCACTGTAGGAAACTGATCTACTTATTTTCTACTTCACTCTGATAACTTGATTTATTTATTTTTGATGCATTACATCACATGCATTTCAAAAATATTTTGAAATAATTTTAGACTTAGAAAAAGCATAAATAATAGAGTTCTTATATATTCCTTATGCAGCTTTCCTTAGTGTTCTTATCTTTTTTTTTTTTTTTTTTTGGCAGAACCAGGGATTGAATTCAGACCCTTATCCTTGCCAGGGAAGTGCTTATTCTACGGAGCCATCTCCCCAGCGCCCTCATAACTTTTTAAACAGAGGTGTAATTATAATAGGAAGTTATTATTGTTCCTGTATTATTAACTAACTTCAGGCTTTATTTAGATTTCACTAGTTGTTCTATTAGTACACTTTCTGGATCAAGATTCAATGCAGGAGTCCACATTATATTCAGCTGTGTTGTTAATGGTATCCAGTTTGAGAAACATCTGCCTTTGTTCTTAAGAATGCTGACCCTTACATTTTTGTTCTTCTGCTATATAGTTCTTCGTAATTAATATATATTTATCTTATGAGGAGGCATTTTGAGACTCTGGAAATAATTTGCTTTCATTCTACTTTACTAATTTTAGTACTCATTGACAGTCATGGCTTACCAAATATTATGGAGTTTGGTGATCTTCTATCTATCCTTTACATTTATCCATTCCAATTCTACTATGAGAAAAACCTTCCTACTTCATTCATTCATTCTTGTATTTATTTTTACTCAAATTATTCCAAGTGTAGATGGTGAGATCTTATTACTCTAATCAAACACTTCAAGTTTCATTCTAGCCTAGTCTCTTTCGTTTTCTTTTTGGATGCTGAGAAAACTAATTCTCACTATCCATAATTTGCTAAGGACTTATATACATATCAAGTAGTTCCAAAATTTCTAACCAATATGTAGGAAAAACAAATTTTCAGATATATTTTTGTAAATTACCTCAAATTCTTCCCTAACAAAGATAAAAAAGGATTTAAAATATAATGAAAAAATAAAGCAAAGAAAGGAGGGAGGGAGCATGAAAGGGAAGGAAGACAGGAAAAAGGGAACAAAAGAAACAACTGCTTCTGTACATGAAATCTAGATATTTCACTAAGACATATAAAATAAAGTATTTGATATAATAAAAATAATTATATCTATATTATTTTATGCTGATAGCTATCATTTCCATATTTTATACTTGTAAGAAAAACAATTGTTGTTACCTTTTTCTTTATATATTTTTGTCAGAATAGGTCTCAAGCCAGCAGTATTGTTCACCCATTCAATAATCCCACATTCATCATTCAGTGGAATAACAGCATATGTTCGGATGTGAAGTTCTCTTCTCCGAGATTCTGCATCTTTTCTTAAGCACTATTAATGAAAAAGATGCACATAAATTTAAAGAACTGAACTCAAAATCTCTACATGCTTTATCAAATATCGCTAAATAGCTTTACTTCACAGTAAAAGAATGCTAAGGAAGGCTTACTATGTGTGGTATAGATGAGTAATTGTTCTGAAAGGTAGAGAAGAAAACTACTGGGAATGTACCCTTAATCTATTTAAAAACCATGAAAAATGCCTTAGGGGCAAGGCCTTTAAATTATTCAGTATTAATATAAGAATATGTTATAATATTGTACATACAAATTTAGCAGTGACAAAATACTTCTTTTTTTTTTGCAGAACCGGGGATTGAACTCAGGCCCTTGTGCTTGCCAGGGAAGCGCTTATTCCACTGAGCCATCTCCCCAGCCCAGTAGTGACAAAATACTCTTTTTTTATTGCTTGATAGATATTACTGAAATGTGAAGTCCTTAGGCCCAGAGGATGGTATTTAATTTTAATTATCTACAAAGCACATGAACAGAATATATGAGTTGTATAACATCCTAAAAATGTATTTCTTACTATTGTTGTTTAATTATTATGGCTTTACTTCAAGAGCTATTCTTCTAGAACAAGAAAATTTTACATATTTAATATGATTAATCCAGACATACAAATTAAGAAAAAATATTATAATGCTTAATTCTGGAACACTATGCAATAGGCAAATGAAGCACATATCTATGTGTAACTTCACATATATGATAATTTCTTCACTTCAAAAGCACAATCACTGACCAAAACCACATTTAAATTTAGGGTTGAGTAGGCTCCATAAATGGCAGAAAAACCATATAGCACTAAAATCTCATAAAAATTAGTCTGAGGCTTCTAAGATCAAAACAGTAAGATTACACTAGTGTCTTCCACCATCAGGTTATTTTATTTGAACATTTAATGAAAAGTTGCAGTAATAAAATACGTTAATCATAATATATATAAATTTATATATTAAAGCAAAGGCATTTGATACTCAAAAAAACATGTTTAAGGTGCTCTGGCAAGAATATACTAGTTATTTAACAGTGAATTAAAGTTGCAATTTGTCAAACATTTTAAATGAACATTAATCCTCATATTGCCTTTGAAATATGAGGATTAATTTTGAAATGTGTTTCAAATGTAGTATTAACTTTTAAATTACTTTTAGTTAAACTAAGCACAGATCATAATTGTGCCTATTTTGTAGTTGCTCTGCTGCGAGGCATGGAATCCAGGGCCTCTGGGGTCTATCACTGAGAAACACTTTCAGTCCAAAACTCCTTAAATACAAAACAAGAAATGAGTTTGTAGCCAGCTAGGGATCAGTAGTGGGTTCCAGGCCAACCTGAACTGTGCAACCTTTGAGACCCTATCTCAAAACAAATGCCCCCCCAAAATTCCAAGCAAAACAAATCACTGGGGCCAGGGAGATGGCTCAGCAGAATAAGCGCTTGCCTGGCAAGTGCAAGGGCCTGAGTTTGCTCCCCAGTTCCACCAAAACAAAAACAAAAACAAATCACTTATTGCTGTATGTTTCCTATGCTAAAGACTACAAACTTTTCTAATAAAAAAGATAGGGGGCCTGCCCCTTAGCTCGGTTCTTTAAGTGGCTGCTTCCACAAAGCAGTCAGGCTCAGGTTGCTGTGGTTCCATCCCCATAACTCAAGCCAGCCAAACCTGCCCTGAAGGCATTCGGAGAAAAAAAAAATCCTTCTAATAAAAAAGATACTCTGAACCTGGTGGTACATGCCTATAATCCCAGCACTCAAGAGGCTGAGGCAGGAAGAAAGCCATGAGTTTGAAGCCATCCTGGGCTACTATATAAATGAGTTCAAGACCAGCTTGCATAACATAGTGATAATCTATCTCAAAAAGTAAAAAAAGTGTACTGAAATGTGTGGGGCCAGGTGTAGTGATGTATACCTATAATCCCAGTACTTAGGAGGCTGAGACAGGAGGACTGCCAAGAATTCAAAGCCAAGGGCCAGGGAAATAGCACAGCAGTATAAGCAGCTGCCTGGCAAGTGCAAGGTCCTGAGTTTGATCCACAGTACTGCAAAAAACAAAAAAACAAAAACCCCCATAACTATGAATAATGAGTTCAAAGCCAGCTTGGGATGCATAATTAAAGGCCAGCCTGAACTACACCGCAAGATCTTGTCTCAATATACAAAACAAATAAAACAAAAATATTCAGAAATGTGTGGAGAGGGGATGGGAAAGAAAGAAAAGTATTTTTAAAAAGTTACATCGGAAAAAAAAATTTCATCTTTCCACACTATCACTTAATATTCATAAATGAAAAAATGTTATGCAATTATACACTGGCTAAAGAGTAATACAAGATATATAAGACCACACACTTATGATAAAAGTTTAATGGGACTTCTTATATCATCTTTCAGACAGGTATCAATACCAATAACACACACACAAAAATGCTAATGAAGGGCTGGCCAAATAGCTCAGCGAATTAAAGTGCAGGTGCAAGCACTGAGGGTTCAACCCCAGGCCTTCTGTGCTGGCTCGACCCTTGGGGCATACTGAGAGGGCCATTGAGACTACTGGGTGTGGTGGTGGTGGGGCACGCCTGTAATCCCAGCTCTTGGGAGGTTGTAAACAGATCACTACGAGTCTGATCTAGTAGTGAGACCCTGAACACCCTGTAGATGCTTCCCTAAATATATATATTTAGGGAACATTCCAGGAAACTGTGAGCTATATATGTATATATATATATATATATAAAACAATATGCAATAAAAAATACTAATGATTACTTCAATGAGGTGAATAAAAGAATTTTTTTTCTAGCAGACACATAACCCAAATAAATCAAATATGTACACATTATTATTATTATTTTTTTTTTGGTAGAGCTGGGGATTGAACTCAGAGCCTTGCGCTTGCCAGGGAAGCGCTGATTCCACTGAGCCATTGCCCCAGTCCCAATGTACACATTATAGATATCATTAAATAGGAAATATTTTCCACATTAATATGGCTTACATTTTTATATGTTAAAAATGGAGGCACGCAACTTTATATGTATATATCTAAAGCTTTGAAAACTAGGATTTGAGCAGATACTTGTATATTCATGTTCAAAGCAACATTATTTATAATACTTAAAACACGGAAGCAATCTAAGTGCTCATTAATGAATAAAGTGTAGCATACATATGCAATGGAGTATCAATTTTAATAGGAAATTCTGAACCTTGAAGTCATAATGACAAGTAAAATAATCCATTTATAAAATGGGATTGTTATGGTTTGTGCATAGTTGTCCCCCCAAAGCCTCATGCAGTCTTGAGGCAGCTTCTGGACTTTGTGATTGATTATTGTGGGTGTGGATGCTGCACCTGCCCTGGGAGGTAATTTGCATTTCAGTGTAAGCAGGGAAGAGAAGCTAGCTGCTTGAGCTGCTACTACCCCTCCCTTGAGCTCTTGCTGTTTGCCACTGCCAAGATAGGTTGCCCTCTGCCATGTGCAGCTCTGCCTTGGAGCCAGCTAAATATGGACTGAACATTCCAGGAAACTGTGAGCTAAATAAACCTTACTTTCCCTAATTTAAGTGTTGGGTATTTGTGCCAGCAAAAAAGTGCCTAAGACAGGGTTATATTACATAATTCCACTTATATGTAGTACTCAGAGTGGTCAAATTCATAGAGACTGAAAGAATTGTTTGAGGCTGGAATGGACAGGAAATAAGGAGTTACTTATTACTTAATAGACCAGTTTCAACATGGAAAATCTAAAAAGTTCTGAAGGGTATGGTAGTGATGCCTGCATACCTATGTGAATAAACTAAATGCCACTCTACTATATATGTGAAATGGTTTCATGGTAAATTTTCTGTTATGTATGTTTTATCACAATAAAAACAAGTGAAAGTGAAAAAATACATTTCACTCCTTTTTCCTATGAGTGACTTGTATGCACACCGACAAGCTCATATCATATTGATATTAATTCTGGTAATTACAAAAGTTATTTCCAAACCTTATTAATCAATGAATTGAATTCCATTAATCTACAGTCTTTTCTTAGGTCATCTTTTGGTTTACACATCATGATGTAGAACTTTCCATCTGATCCTTTTAAAGAGATCTTCTTTGGTTTTTGAAGAGAAGCAAGAATTTCCACCTATATAAGGATGAGTTTTAAGACCAAACTTCTTTAAATATCACCATAATCATGTAACAACAACAAAATGGTTGCCTATGAAACACAGTTTCACCCATTAGGAATGAGTATGAGGTAAAGAGATCAGCAAAACAAGTACTTACACATGTAAACTGTGACAATTCCCTTTAAAAGTTACAATAGTTAAGGTTTTTGAAATTCTATTTAAGATTTATGAAAGACCTTTCAAACTGTTCTTAATCTAAGTACTAATCAATAACTGATAACAATCTTGACTTTTGAAAAGAAAAAACAAAACCGCAAATTAAGTCTACCTAATGAGGTAAATAAGATGTACAATACCAAGTTAAAATAAAAAATGACAATAATACAAATAATAATAACGCATTATGTGGTTGGATAATTGGCAGGGAAAGAACAAATGTTCTGAGCCATAAAGTACTAGGATATATAGAGAGCTTTCAACAGTATTTACTTAGGAAAAATGCTCTACTATCATTTCTTTAAAAACAATCATATGGTGATACATGACTATAATCACAGCCCTCAGAAAGGAGCAGAGGAGGAGGATCAGTTTGAGTTGAAGGCCTGCCAAAATTACACAGTGAACTCAAGATGAGCCTGAACTACACAGTGGGAAACCCTGTCTCAAAAAAAAAAAAAAAAAGTCTAAACCTACATTTTACACTTAAAAAAAAAAAAACCCACAAAATAAACAAACTCTTACTAGGTGATTTTCACTTCTTCCCACGAAGCAAATAAAACTTGTATTTTATTTTTTCTCTTTTACATTTTGAGGACAAAAAACAATATGAAAAAATTGAAGTCTAAAAACAAGGGTTAGAGATACACTAAAACAATATGAACATGTGGAAAAAAATACTAAGCCAAACAAATTATTTCTTTTTTGGGGGTACTAGCAATTGAGCTCAGGATCTTGTGCTTGCCAGGTGGGCATTTGTGCCACTGAACTATATCCCCAGTCAAACACAAAATTTTAATCAATGAATTTTCTACCATCAGTATAAGACAGTTTCACTTTTCTGTATTTCCTGTTACTTTTCTCCCATCCAAGTACTAACCAGGCCCGACCCTGCTTAGCTTCCGAGATCAGACGAGATCGGGCGCATTCAGGGTGGTATGGCCGTAAACTCCAGTTACTTTCTTTGCAAATAAAATTCATCTAAATTCTTAGTTTGACTTGAAGTTTTAAACTAAATTTTAATATTATAGTAATAGACATATAAAACTATAGTTTACCGTATCATCAAAACCTGCAATATAGGCCCAATGTCCGGGAAATGGATCATAATTAGTATGGGCACCCGGGATTGATGGAAGCGTAGGTATCATGACTGACTGCAAAGGAATGAGGATTTCACTAAATGTTGCTTCCTCTACCAGCCTTTTTAGCATTTTAAAATGAGTGCTCATGCTTAATGTGGAACTACTTCCGTCGACCTGAAAAAGAAAACAGTACATTTTATCTTTTTTCACTTTAAAAAAATTTTTTTTTATACCAGAGATCGAATTCTGAACCTTACACTTGTCTGGCTTATACTGCTGAGTTATGCCCCAGACTTGTTTACTTTTGAATTACAAAATACTGTACCACAGTAAACATTTCACTTTTATATTATTTTAATTATAAAGGTTCAGCAGTATAGTTCGTAAAGTCTTCCCCACACCTTAACTAGGGATTGAACTCAGGGACTTTTCACTAAGCTGTATTCTCATCTTTTTTAAGTTCTCTTTTACCCATCAATAACAGGAATTATGTCATAAGACTGCTTGATGACTAAAGGAGATAACTGAGTTCTATTATTAAAAAGATCTGTAAGTCAAATACATTTTTGGGCTAACAAATTTCATTATGCAGTAAAAAGATAAATTCAGCTAAATTTCTCATTTGGTGTAAAGATTGTACATGTCACTGTAGCAGGAGCTATGTGTTTGATTATGGGCTATCCTAACAGATTATAATTAGTAGTAATCTGTTATATGTATGTGTACTTTTTTA